GGGGGACATCCAGGGGACACCTGGAGCTCAGGAGAGGGGGATGTGCTTGACAGAGATTTGGCATCTGTTGGCAATGCGGTGTCCCCAAGCCACAGAGGGGGTGGGGCACAAGGAACATGGGAGACCTGCCGATGGAGAAGGACACGCCGGAAAAGTAGGTGGGAAACCGGGAGACTGGGACACCTGAAGCCCAGAGAAGAGAGTTTCCAGAATGAGGGTGCGGTTGACAGGATTGAAAGGTGGAGGAAGATGAGCAGCTGGAAGCAACCTTGGGATTTAGGACTTGACAAGAGCAGTTTGGTGGAGGGTGTGGGGGAGGGGTCAGGCTGATCTAGACGGAGGAGGGAGTGGAAGTCGGGGAAACTGAGGCAGAGCATATAGTCCCTCCTAAGCATTGCCCCCCTTCTACAGGTGTGGAAACAGGCTCAGAGACGGAAAGCAACTTGCCCAAAGTCTCATGGCTAGCAAGGGCGGGGATGGAAGAGGAGGAGGTGCCGAGTGCCCAGTGGGACGCGGACAACTCTGTCTTACCAGCTTGAATGACAGTGGTGTAGCGGCAAGGAAATGGGTGAGCCTGGCCTCAGGAAGATGAGTAAGATCTCAGCTTCAAAGAGAGCCTATCCAGAGCTGGGGACACGGATAAGATGAGGACCGTCCCACACCAAAGTCACGATTCTTCCCTGGGTGCTAGGAGTTCCAAGGGAGTCAGCTTGGGAGTGATTTCAATTACTTGTCATGGCAGGAAGCAATAGCACAAGGATTTCCTTTCTTCGTGCCTCAGTTCCCTCATCTGGAAAATGGGGACAAGAACAATAATAATGGGGACGAATTGTGCAGGGTTCTATCGAATGATATATATTTTTAGAATAATACCTAGCACATAGTAAGAGCTCAACAGATGGAAGAGTTATACTTTCTAGATATTTCCAGCTTGCTTCCTTTTATAGTTCGTATTCTCTCTCTCTCCCCCTCCTCCCTCCCTCCCCTCCCCACTCACATGCACGCGCACGCACGTACACGCACGCACGCACGGACCACAATGGCTGTCCTAGAACAGCCCCAGAAGGACAGAGAAATGCAGACTCTTTATACACCTGCTTTGCCACCTGAGTCTCGGTTCCTAAAACCCAAACCCGGGGGAGAAGAAATGGGGAATATCCCTTCCACTCGCTCTAGCCCCCAGGTTCTTTAATTCCCTTTATCCAGTACGTGCGTGATCTTGCCTGGCACTATGCTGGGGCCACTGTGGTGACCAAAATCTCCCTTGGCCCTGTTCTCGCCCGGCTCTCAGGGAAGTGGGGGACACATTGCAAACAGAGTGCAAGAGGTGGCGGTCAGCTCGGGACCTGTGAGTGGAAAGACTCTGTAGCAGAACACAGGTGGCAGGAAACTGGAGCACTGGGGCTGGTCTAAGCAAGCAGGGTGTAGGGAAACGGACAAGGGATGGTGCAGGACTCGGGCTAGCAGAGCTGAGAGCTAGTAACTCCCCCAATCTGGGGGACGGGGCGGGGGGGGCAGTGCCTTCCAGAAGCTGGAAAGTGTGGCCACATGGAGAGGGCCACCCCACAAAAGCTGTGGCTCCGGTATAGGCATGCAAACTGACCCACACCCATGGGGCGGGGGCGGGCCAGTGGGAGGTGCGGGGGGGGGGGGGTGAATGCCCTGACTTCACTCTAGGGCTCTACAGGAGTCCCTAGGACAGACAACCCTTGGATGCGTTCCATTAAGCCGCGCTGCGGTAAGCTGACTAATGGCCCCCCAACAGGTCCACTTGCTAATCCTCAGAACCTGTGGATATGTTCCTTTCCGCGGCCAGAGGGACGTCACCAATGTGATTAAGCTCATCTTACACTGGATTATCTGCGTGGGCCCTAAGTGCAACCACAAGGGTTT